TGGGGGCTGCGGGTCGGGAGTGAGGGGCGCTGGCGGATGGGGGCTGCGGGTCAGGAGCAAGGGGCGCCGGCAGAGTTGTGACCGTGGCGAATGCAGGACTGGGGGCCGGTTGGGGATGTGAGGGAGGGGTGGGGGTACCTGGAGGATGGCTGAAGGGGGACTCAGAGGGGGGATGGATGGTGGGCTCGGGGCCCAGGGGTTGATCTCCCCCAGATCTGCTCTCTCCTCCAGAACGCTTCTGCGGGGGTGGAGCGCCTCCTCCTGGGGAACAAGTGTGACATGGAGACCAAGCGCAAGGTGCAGCGGGAGAGTGCAGAGAAGGTACGGGGGGGCGGGAGGGGACCTCAGGTCGGTGGCACGAGTGCCACTGTCATTCATGGCTGGATCGGGGGGTGGGGACAGCTGGGCACAGGGTGGCAGCCCCCAGCGGTGCTGAATGCAGCAGAGTCCCAAGGGCCAGGCCTTGCTCCTCCCATCTCACCCCCGTCCTGGGGTGTCTCTGAGGCCGTGATTGTGTCTCCCCGGGATGGAGGGGCAGCTGTGCTGGGTCTCGGCCATTAGCGAGAGGGAAGGAGGTCGGGGGGGCTGTGGGTGCCTGGCTCAAAGGTCCCTTTCTCTCCTGGCAGCTCGCAAAGGAACATGGGATCCGGTTCTTTGAGACCAGTGCCAAGTCCAGTGTGAATGTGGAGGAGGTAAGCGGAGTGGGACCTGGCTCCCTCCCAGGGGACGACTCCCCGAGGTCCCTGGGCCCTGCCCCGTTGTGCCTCCAGCCCCCTGCACTGGGCGCTCACTGCCTAGGGGCAGCCTGGGAGAAGCAGCCCCCAGGCCGGCCCAGGAGGGCTGCTGCCAGGGGCTGGGTGGTGGGTGGTGCAGTGCCCCTGGGGAGGGAAGAGAGGTCTCTCTCAGTATCTGGGCTGTAGGAGGACCCCAGGCAGATCTCTTGCCCATCCCTGGAATGGACTGAGTGGGGGGCTCCAGTGAAGCTGTGAGACCCACCCTCGGGACCTCTGGCCCACAGGCAGGTCCTCCCCATATGCTCCCATGGAAGCGGGGAGAGGGGGACGCTAAGATTCACCCAGAGGCTTTTGTTTCCCACTGCTAAGCGTCCCCTCCCCCAGCCAGCTCACAGCCCCCACCCCAGTGTCCCTGGCTGGCCTTCCGTAACCTGCTCCTCTCTCCCCTCAGGCCTTCAACACCCTGGCCCAGGACATCCTGCTGAAATCCACCAAGAAACTGGTGAGCATGCGGGGTCCAGGCGGGCTAGGGAGCCCCCTGAGTTAGAGGTGACCTGCGCAGCTCGGCCTCCTTCCAGCAGGAGGCGTTGAGATGGGGACAGAAAAGCAGCATGAATCTGCCTTTCCCTGTGAATGATCTTGCTTTTCTCCAGCACTTCCCTCCTCTGGTGCTGAGATGCAGCCACCTCTGGGGTGGGGCGTGGGGACTGGTTCTACAGGGATCCCTCGTCTGGTGCTGAGATGCAGCCACCTCTGGGGTGGGGCGTGGGGACTGGTTCTACAGGGATCCCTCGTCTGGTGCTGAGATGCAGCCACCTCTGGGGTGGGGCGTGGGGACTGGTTCTACAGGGATCCCTCGTCTGGTGCTGAGATGCAGCTGCCTCTGGAGTGGGGCGCAAAAGCTGTTTAACCATCACACTGCCGTGCTATACAGCAGGCCAGGCCAGGACGCTGGTGAGGCTACGGTATCTAAGGCTGATGGGAACACCCTGCATTGGAACATGGCCAGGGCAGTAATTTGGGATCTTTAATGACCGCTGGTGGCGAAGCCAGACCCCAGACCGCACTCCCAGCAGCACAACGCCCCCTAGTGCCCTGTCGGGGCATTGGCACAGTCACACTACTCATAGGGAGCCCATCCTGGGGCATGGGGCCCGCCCTGGCTCAGAGGAGAGTGCCCCCACTGAGTGACCCCGGGCTGCAAGGGCACCTGACAGTGACTGGCTCACTCTCTCTTTCAGGGTAAAATCCCCAAAGGGAACCTGGACTTGAAAAGTTCTCCAAAGAAAAGCAGCAGTAAATGCGCCGTGGTCTAGCAGCAGCCACGCCGCAGGAGCACCCCAGGGTGCCACCCCTCCCGGGCGCCACGCCGGAGCATGTAGTGCCACTGTGTCACTCCTCTCCCTTCTGCCACTCTCCTGTTCCTCTGTGACAGCATGGGCCGGGCAGCTCCCTGCGGCTGGGCAGAGCTGAGCTCCGGAGCTGGGGTCTCCGAAGGGGCCAGTCAATCTTCCGGCTGCTCGTGTGCTCCGAGAGAGGAGGAACGGGAGGTGACCTGCAGGCTGATTTGGGGAGGGGAGCAGAGCGGGGAGGGAGGAGCTGGAGAAGAGGGGGGCTGCAGAGAGGAAGGGCAAGGGAGAGGGCAGTGATGCGGGGGAGACTGGCCATGCTGCAGCCGCTTGTTGCTCCCAGGGGCGCGTTGAGTCGAAGCCCTGGGAAGCCGGGATCCCTTCTCCCAAACCAGCCGGCGGGTCCCCCGGGGTCCAGGCAAACCCTGTATATAGGACTGGCTGCTCCATCACACATAGGAATGACTGTCTGAAAACCCAGGGCCCCCAAGCCCAACGTGGGGCCCAGCGTCTCCGCTGCCAGGGGCCGGCAGAGCCCCCTGCGTGCCTCGGGCGCCCGGCGCCATGTAATTAACAATATAAAGCCCCAGCTTGTGCCTTTGCTCTCGGCTCCAGGGTGTTTCTTTGCCAGCACCGACTGTGGGCAGCGCCGGGGCTGGGGTGGGGCTGCCCTGCTGCATGTGCCCGAGACCATCGACGCAAAGAGCCTTAAAGGGCAAATTTCAGCCCCTGCTCCACACGGGCTCTGCTGTTCTCCTGGGCCTCTCTCAGCTGAGCCCATGAAAACGAGCACCTGTGTCCCTTTGGTTTCCTGTCCTGGGTCCTGTGCTCCTGGCCGGCCTGTCCAACCCCCACCAAGGCAGCTGCAGTCCCCAGAGCCAGGCTGGGCGAGCTCAGACCGTTTATTGAACCAGCTTCTGCTGGGGGAAGAGAAAAGCCTTCGAGCTGCACAGCGTCGTGTTTGCCATGTGACCTGCGCCGTGAGGCCGGCTGCCTGCAGTGCCCTCTGCGGGGCAGCCCCTGGCCTCTGGCTCCCAGCACCCTAAGACAGGAGCCCCCCTGGCCAGGCCCACGGCAGCGGCTCTCGCCCCCACCCCAGCGCAGGCTTGCTTGGGCCAAGGAGACTCCGTGGGCTGACGGGGTGGGACGGGCCCTGGCCCAGAGCTGCCTGCAGGGACCAGGGCAGGACAAGAATGAGGCGAGTGCTCTGCCGGGGGGGGCTCCTGCCCATCTTGCCCCCAGGCCCTCGGAGCAGCGTCTCCCCCGGGGCATGGGGCACACGGGGGCAGCTCGTCCCGGCCTTGCCCCGGCCAGCGGGGTTCAGTGCGGGGAAGGAACGGGGACCCCGTGGGCAGCGCCAGGCCTGGGGGTCCCGGGTCCGTGGCTGGCTCAGGTCTGGGGCTGAGCCGGGGGTCAGGGGGCTGCCCCCCCCCCCAAACCGCTCGCCCGTCCTGGGGGCTGGGCCGGCCCCGATCCTGCCTTGGGGGGCGGGTGCTGCACCTAGTCCTGAGGGGCCGAGACCCCCAGCTATGGGGGGAGCGGATTCCCCAGCTCCAGGGGGCTGCCCCATAGACCACGCCCCCAGCCAGGCCCCGCCCCCGCGAGCCCCTGGAATCCTCCCGCAGCCTGCGCCCTTCCCGTCATGCCCCGCGCCGCCATCGCCACTCTGGCCCCGCCTCTCGCTGGCAGCTCCCAGAAGGCCCCGCGCAGGCCAAGATGGTGGCGCCGCGAGCAGGGCGAGGCGGGTGAGAGCGAGGTCGGGACCCCCCCCCCGTCGCCATGGAGCCGCGCGCGCTGGGGCGCTGCGTCCTGCTCGCGCTCGGCGCCCTGGCCTGGAGCCTCAGGTGAGCGGGGCCCGGGGAGACCCCCCCCGCTG